ATTTTAGGGATCCCCGGTGCCCCCCCACCCCCCCCTGGGGGCCGCCCGGGGCCCCGGCCTAAAAAAGGAAAAAAAAAAAAAAAAAAAAAAAACACACAAACAAACAAACAAAAAAATTAAGTAATACATATACAGCACTTAGAATGGTGCCTGGTCCAGAGCGACCTCTCAGTAAATGTTAATGGTCCTCCCTCCCCTATTTAAAGGTATTTGCACATCTCTGGGCATCATGGGGACTTATTAAACAAACCAAGCCCTCTCCCAGGGCTAGTCTCTATTTTATGAGGCTTTGGTTTTCACAGTGAGTGAATACACATCATTGTCCATCCTTTCTTTTAAATCGTTTTTAATTTTTTAATCTTGGAATATTAAAATAGAAAAGACTATGACAGAAACCTATGCATCTACCATCCAGATTTAACAGATATTAACATTTTGCCTTATTTGCCACAGATATTACATACCAATTTTTAAAATAATAAAGTAGGGCCGGCCCGTGGCTCACTCGGGAGAGTGTGGTGCTGATAACACCAAGGCCCCGGGTTCGGATCCCATATAGGGATGGCTGATTCGCTCACTGGGTGAGCGTGGTGCTGACAACACCAAGTCAAGGGTTAAGATCCCCTTACCGGTCATCTTTTAAAGAAAAAAATAAAATAAAATAATAAAGTAACTTTGGATCACAAAATAATAAGAAATATCTTTTTAACCTGACTTTAATATATATATATATATGTATATATATATAGTTTACACATAATTATTCAAATATATATACATATGTTTTGGGTGGGTTTTGGCAGCTGGCCAGCATGGGGATCTGAACCCTTGACCTTGGTGTTACAACACTATACTGTAACCAACTGAGTTAACCGGCCAGCCCTACATATATATTTATATGTACACAAAATACAAAAATATTTGCTGAAACACTATATATCAGTGAACAAGTAGAAATAGCTTAAGTCACCATTGAGGGATAGTGAAATGAATTATAAAGCATCTACATTATGTTGTGCATTTGTTAAAAGCAACTAGGTAGATCGAAACGTCATGAAATGGAAAGGTATCTAAGACTGACTATTAAGTGAAAAACAAAAGGCAAGGTGGGGAAGTGGTGTCTATGATCCCATTTTTGCTTTTAAGGAAATCTGGTTCTGTTTAGGTAAAAGTATGAAAGGACAGTCACTATTCACTCATCTACTAACTCTGAAAACTACAGAGGATTAGAATCAGGTCAGAAAATATTTATTTTCAACTTTATACATTTCCCTATATTACAAATTCTTTCTTCAACCAACATGCATTACTCTAATAATAAAAATAATAAAACACTTAAAGGGTATAGTTTTCAAAATAAAAGTAGTATAGCTTATTAAAGACAAATCAGAAAATTCAGAAAAGTACAAAAAAGGAAAAGAAAACTTGTCTAGTCAAATTTTCTAGAGTAACTACTTACCATTTTGGTGTGTTTCCTTCCAGGTTCATTTGTAGAGGTTTTTTGCTGTTGTTATCATTTGCCTTTTATATACTATTGATCCCATGGTATAAATATAACCTTTTTTCCACTAAACGTTATCATCAGTATTTTCCTTGTAGACATTTTTTATGAGTTACAAAACATTCCACTGAGTAGACTTACTGGTTTACTAACCTCCCATGCTGCAGGCATTTGGGAAGTTATTCAGTTTCTTGCTTTTATGACACACGATACAAAGGAACATGGTTTTTTTGTAAACCTTTTACTGTATTTAAGATTTTTCCTTCAGATGTTGTCACAGAGGTATAAATACCAGGTCATCTGGTCAGATTGTTTTTCAGAAAAGTTCTTTATGGGCCGGCCCGTGGCTCACTCGGTAGAGTGTGGTGCTGATAACACCAAGGCCACGGGTTCGGATCCTATATAGGGATGGCCGGTTTGCTCACTGGCTGAGCGTGGTGCTGACAACACCAAGCCAAGGGTTGAGATCCCCTTACCGGTCATCTTTTTAAAAAAAAAAAGAAAGAAAAAAAAGAAAAGTTCTTTATATGTATACCCTCCCATTGACATGGTCCATTTCACCACAGCTCCCTAGTACTGGGGACAATCATGTTAAAAAGCCATTTCTGAAACAATTGGCACATCTGATGAAGCATATATGGATGACTTGATTAGAAAGCAGAACTTTGCTTGAGATTTTGCATCTCTTCCAATTTGCATTTTTCCCTATTTACATCTCTTTTAAGTTGTGTATCTTCTACTACTAGAAACTTTGAGCATTTTCCCAGATGGTCGTCTACCAGTTTTATTTTCTCTTTTATGTTTTCGTATTCTTTATTTCTTAGATTCCCATGTTTTATTGTTAACAATTTATGTGAGATTTTCACGTGATAAAAATATTAGACTGCAGCCAGTACAGGGATCGAACCCTGGACCTTGATGTCATCAGCATCATGCTCTAACCAACTGAGCTAACTGGCCCGCCCCATTTGCTACAAATCTTTTCTCTAGTCGTGTGCTTTTAATGTTTGTCTTGACATCTGATTATTTTTATTTTTACATGGCTGACTCCTTAGTTGACTCCATAGTTGACTCTGTGATTTCTACTGTCATTTCTAAGCTAAGAAAATTCTTTTCCCCCTAAAGATTTCACAACTAATTAGCTCCATTTCTCTACGGGATGATATTGATCATTTACTGTTTGCTACTTGACTGGTCCATCGGGACCTGATTTCAGGTCCACGTGTGGAGAGGGCGGCTGTGAGTGGGCTGACCAGTCACCCCTCCCGTTAGGCCTGCGTCTCCTCTGCTCCTAGGAAAGGCCCGGCTTTCTCATCCCTTGCCAGCAAGAGCAGCATGCAGAGAGTGCAAAGTGCTGGGAATGACGCTTCCTTCATTCCTTCTCAAGCCAGCAACTCACTTTGCCTCTTTTCCTATTTTCTTATGACAGCTTTATTGAGATAGAACTCACAGCTCACCCAGTTAAAGCATGCGGGCGAATGGTTTTTATCATGTTCACACAACCATCACCATACTCAGTTTTAGAACATTTTCATCATCCCCATCCCCATTAGCCATCACTCCCTACTTCCCCTCAACCCTCCTACCAACCCTTTGCCATTACTTTCTGTCTCTGTAGATTTGCCAGTTCTGGACATTTTATGTAAATTGACTCATACACCATGTGGTCTTTTGTGTTAGACTTCTTTCACTTTGCATAATGTTTTCAAGGTTCATCCGTGTGGTAGCATGGTCAGTACTTCATATCTCTTTATTGCTGAATGATATTTCGTTATATGGATATACCACATCCAGTAACGTGGCTGTACCATTTTATTCACTGATGGACATTGGAGTTGTTTCCACTTTTTGGCTATTATGAAAAATGCTGCTATGAAAATTTCATGTCCAAGTTTTTGTGTGGACATATGTTTTCATTTATCTTGAGTATATACCTAGGAGTGGAATTGCTGGTCACATGGTAATTCTATGTTTCACTTTTTGAGGAACTGCTAGACTGTTTTCCAAAGCACTGCGCAATCATACATTCCCTCCAGCAGTGCTCAGGGTTCCAATTTCTCCACATCCTCACCAACACTTGTTATCTGTCCCTTTTATTGTTTTATTATATCCATTCTAGTGGATGCAGAGTGGTTTTGATTTCCATTTCCCTGAAGACTAGTGGTATCAAACACCTTTTATGTGCCTGTTGGCCATCTGTAAATCCATGAGTTCAAATTCTTTGTCCATTTATTGGATTATTTGTGTTTTTATTGTTAAGTTATAAGAGTTCTCCTCCCGCCCCCCCCCCTTTTTTTTTGGTCTGACCAGTACAGGGATCGAACCCCGGTCCTTGGTGTTATGAGCACCAGTCTAAGCAACTAAGCTAATCAGCCAGCCTGAGTTATAAGAATTCTTTATGTATTCTGGATACTAGTTCCTTATCAGATACATGATTTGCAAATATTTTCTCCCATTTTGTGGGTTGTCTTTTCATTTTCTTGATAGGGTCCTTTGAAGCACAAATGTTTTTAATTTCGATAAAGTCCAATTTATGTTTTTTCCTTGGTTACTTGTGCTTTTGGTGTCATAGCTAAAAAGCTCTGCCTAACCAAGGTCACAACAACTTATTTCTATATTCTCCTCTAAGAGTTTAATAGTTTTGCCTCCTATATTTAGGTCTGTGGTCATTGGGAGCTAATTTTTGTCTACAGTGTGAGGAAGGGGTCACACTTTATTCCTTTGCACGTGGATATCCAGGTGTCCCTGCCCAGCTGTTGAAAAGATGACTCCTCTTGCTCTCATTGAATTGCCTTGCCGCCCTTTTCAGAAATCAATTGACCATAAACACAAGGGCTGTCTATTTAGTGGCTTGTCATTTGCTTATTCTTTTGAAATTGAGACAGAAAAACTCTCAGAAAAATGTGAAAGAAAATAAGTCTTTGAAAAGCTTTAAAGAAGACATTCTAGGAAAAAGATACTGAAGAGGATACCCACCTTCTCCAGAGAGGCCAAAGCCACCCTGCCCTGTCCCATATGCCACAGACAGTGACCTAGAACCTCTACCTTCCCTTCCGATAAATGTCCCAAATAAGTCCTGGAGAAAGTTACATCTTACGGCCATTTCACGAGGCCTGGGGGATCCACCTTGCTTAGCTGTGGGGGTAGGGAGGAAGATGTTGAGGAACGGATGTTCTGAATGGCTGTCACTTAACTTCATCTGCGAGATGAGAATAGTTTAGGGAGAAAGTGAGATGATGTGTGTGAATGTGCTCTGTAAGCTGCAAAGTGTTGCCAACGTCACTGGTAGTGACGATGGTGATGATACCAGAAGGCAGACTCTCAGAGCTGGGATTTCAGAGGCCACCCTGACCCCACCACAATGCTGGATCCCTTCTCCAATATTCCTACAAAGTGGCTACCCAGCCTGAACCCCTCTAGTGTCAGGGAGCTCAGTATGTCCTGAGATAGCTGTTCTATATCTGGTTCTTCTTTTTAGAAAGTGTTCTCTCCCCTTGAGTTGAAAAATCACAATAAAATCAGCTTTAAGAAACACTTTTATACAGTATTTTATGTGATCTTTCAAATAATCCTGTGAAGCCAGTATACTACTATGTACCCCCATTTAATAGGTGGGGAAACAGGCTCAGAGAGGTTAAGTGGCTTGCTCAGGGGCCCACAGCCAGTAAAGATGCAGGTGGGATTTGAACCCAGGCCTATCTGACTCCAAAGCCCATGCACATGACTTCTGGGTTGATTTATAGCCTTCTCCACCAATTTCCAAGCACGGGTCTAGTTTAGTCCCTGGGGCTACATGGAGTAGGGCTCGCCTTTCTTGTCCACACTGGCCCTTGACCACCAACCTCTGCCAGATGTTCACCTCACCAATGTCGCTGTGCAGAAGACGTCTCCTGACTACCACCCTAAGAAGGTGAGGAAGCCGGGTTTCTGTCCTCCATGGGTGCAGCCTTTTGGAACCTGGCTGGGGGGTAGGCAGGAGAGGAGAGTGACAAGGAGCCCAGGACAGACCTGTCTGGGCTCATAGTTCACCAGTGAGGGCAGGCCCACCTTCCCATTTGCAGACCCAGAGTAAGAGTACAAGGGAGGCCCACATATCGTGTCTAAATATTTAAAAGTGGGGGCCGGCCCGTGGCTCACTCGGTAGAGTGCGGTGCTAATAACACCAAGGCCACAGGTTCGGATCCCATATAGGGATGGCCGGTTAGCTCACTGGGTGAGCGTGGTGCTGACAACACCAAGTCAAGGGTTGAGATCCCCTTACCGGTCATCTTTTAAAAAAAAAAATAAATAAATAAATAAATAAATAAATATTTAAAAGTAACATTATTTAAAAGTAACAAATCAAACTCCTAAATAAAATGTCTGCCCACCTTGACATCCTCAACTGATTGACCAGTCAATTGACTGATGTGTCATACACATATACTATCTATCTATATAATCTATATAATATCCTGCAAGGACATGTTCAAATATGGAATTCTCAGACTTCTCAGAATTAGGGCCAGATCGGGGGGCACAGGAGAGCAGGCCTCCAGCTCACACCTGCTCCCTTCTTTTCCCTCCCCTGGCTTCATCCCACATGGTGGGGGCCTTGTACGTACACATCCCTGCAAACAGCAGCCTGGTGGTCCCTCGTCGGCCTTGGATGTACACACAGTCAGTGCAGTCTGTCTTCAGGAAGGCAGGCCCAGGGAAAAGGCCTACACAGGCCATTTGGGCAGGGGTTTCTGGGGTCCTGGGTAGCCAGTCCTCTTGGACATGCAGTCTTTATCCCAGTAGGAGGGGCACACCCAGAGTCATCCTAATCACAAGACTCAGGGATGGGCCCTCTTGCCCAGGCCTAAGGGCAGTGCTGATGGGATCATTTAGGGTCCTGACAAGTTGGGTTCCTGTTAACTGAGGTCCCCCTCTCCCAATTCGGCTGCCCGGGCTCCCAGGGCTGCAAGTGGATGATCCAGCGCTTCCGGCAGTACCTGGCGTCCAAGCACGGGCCGGAGGCGGTAGAGGCGCTCTTCAGTGACATGGACAACATCTTCATCAAGAGCCTGCAGAGCGTTCAGAAAGTGATCATCAGTGACAAACACTGCTTCGAGCTGTACGGCTATGACATCCTCATTGACGAGGACCTCAAGCCGTAAGTGGGTGGGTGGATGGCCCAGAGAGCCAGGCGGTTGGGTTTTGCACACTCTACAGCCAGACTGCCCAGGTTTGAATCCCAGCTCTGCCACTTTCTAGTTGTATAACATTGGGTGCGCTTCCTTTTTTGTGTGCCTTAGTTTGCCAATCTGTAAAATGGGTTGGTCACGTGCTTATCCCTTATACAGTTGTTATGAGGAATAAATAAGACATCATCTATAGGGCACTGAGCACAGTGCCTGGCACTAGGAGCCCTTCCCTGACCATCTGCTGAGTCAGGCATCCTCCTGTAGCACCAGGCAAGAAACTTCCCCTCTCTAAGTCTTGCTGCTTTGAGGATGCAAAGCGCCATTTAAGGGAATATCATTACAATGCTGGTCCCTGCTGAGAACTGAGTGTCCTCCCACAGTGCCCATGGAGGAGGTCAAGCTGATAAGTAGGACAAGCCTGAGCTGGCAGGGATCACAGTGATGGCCTCACATGATACAACAGGATATGGAAGCCCAGTGGGGTTGTCAGGGAGTTTGAGGTCACACAGCAAGGCAAGGGCAAAGCTGGCCCAAGGTCCAAGTACCTGGGCTGAGCTGCTCCCCACCAGCACTCCTGGCTCCAGGAGCCAAACTCCTACCCAGGTCACTGCATAAGTGCTGAGGGGCTTTCTGAACCCGAAGTGGTAGCTGGAGAGCGAGACCTATCAGGCCCTGGTTTAAGGAAAACAGGTCCTGGCATCAATGGGTTTCTCTCCTTTGCCCCTGCAGCAAGATGTGGCTGCAGGCATTAGAGTGGACACTGATGGGAGAACAAGCTTGGGAGGACACAGAATATAGTGGAAAGGGAGACCTGAGTCTCCCACTGGCCTGTTGGGTGAGCCCTTCCCTCTCTGAGACAGCTTCCTGTCTGTGAAATGATGGGCTTGCACAAAACATAAGTTTGCAAGCTGGAGGTCCTTGAGCTGCTTTTGGCCTGCAGATACTTTGCATTTGGCCTTCAGAATGTAAAGTTATTGAAAATCTCTAAAAACTGAAATATGTTTACACAAAAATCAGGACTTTTTGGATTTTCCGGGAAAATCAGATGATCTGGGCTCACGGTGCCACAGGGCAACTCTCTCCTGCAGCTGGCGTAGCCACCCCTTTAGACATGGAATGCCCTTTCCAGTTCACCACGTACTCCACCCCTCCCTCATGTGTCCCCACCCCTGACGCAGCAGGATGGTGGCCATCGATAGGCAAACATCCACTAGGAGGAAGCTTTTCTTACGCTCCCATCTCTACTGGAAGAAGGAAGAGCAACTTGTCCTGTGCCTGACCAGCTTCCGTCACTACAACCTTTCTTTAAAGTGGAAAGGTGGGGGGAGCAGCCCCACCTGAATTGAGAGTGGGGCCCAGGCACCCCATCTAGCTGCTCAGTGAAATCCCAGGGGCCCCCAGGACCGAGTAACCCTAAGGGCCTCCACTGCCTGCCTCCCCAGGTGGCTCCTGGAGGTCAACGCATCCCCGTCACTGACAGCCAGCAGCCAGGAAGACTATGAGCTCAAGACCCGCCTCCTGGAAGACACCCTGCACGTTGTGGACATGGAAGCCAGGTAAGGAGGGCCACTTGATCACTTGCCCCTCTGTACATGACAAGTGGGGCTCCCACCAAGGGAGAAAGAGAACTCAGAACCTTGGGACTTGAGTGGCTCTCAGAGATGGCTCTGGCCTGCCCCACCATTTTATAGATGGAGAAACTGAGATTCCACACAGGGTCGGGTCCTGGCCCAAGGCCTCAGCCTGTCTGGGGCAGGGCAGGGCCAACTACAGATTTCCAAGACTCAGTCTAGCAGCAATTCCTCAAAATGTTCTTTTTTTTTTTTTTTTTCCTTTTTGTCTTTTTTCGTGTCCGGCAACGGATCGCAACACTCAGTGTCGCACCCGTACCGGACCGGGACCGGCAACGGGATCACAACCCTCGGTGCTGTGCCCACACCTTGCTCAGCCAGCGAGCGGGAACCGGTCTGTATGTGGGATCCGAACCCTCGGCGGGAGCGCCACCGCGCTCCCAAGTGGCGCACTGTAGCAGTGCGCCGCAGGGCCGGCCCCCTCAAAATGTTCTGACTGTGGGACCAAGGACCAGTCTCTTCACCTCTCTGAGCCTCAGTTTCCTCATCTGTAAAAAGGGAAACATCATGCCTACCTCTTAGGGTTTTTAGATTAACTTACCAAGATAAATTATGGTAAAGTGCCTAGCTCACAGCAAGTGCTCAGTAAGAGGCTGTTTATTGTCATAACAATGTGTATATAATGGAAAAAGCCAGGGTCTAGCTTCAAGAATGGATGAATCCAAGTGCTTAGTCAGTGGTTGGTTTGTCTGTCTGTCCCTCCCTCTCTCTGTCTTTCTCTGTCTCCTTTTCCCTCTGTATTAGCTTTTTCTCAACTATTCCAGCAAAAGTTTAAGGGCTGATTCTCATTGCTGGGGATTGGGTCACATGCCCATATCTGAATCAATCAGTGTGACTCCAGTTGACCAGGTCTAGGTCTCTTGCCCACCTCCCAGGATTTGGGGTCAACCCCACCTGAGCCATGTGGGTGTGGGAGGAAAGAGTGGTTCTCAGAGGAAAAACTGAGGTGCACTTGGACTGAAAGAAGGTGAAATGGATGCTAAGCAGGCAGAAACCTCAGATGCCCACTATTCCTACCATCACTTATTTATTCAACAAACATTCGAGCCCCTATGTGTGCCAGGCTCTGTGGAACACACTAGGGACACAGTAATGAACAAGACAGACCTAGTCCCTGCCTTCATGGAGTTTATGGTTTGGGAAGAAAGCAGACTTTGAACCAGAAATCACAAATAGGTGCGTGTTATCAAAGGCAAGTGTGGGAGCCTTGGGGTAAAAACAGGAGACCACCCTTCTGAGGCCTGCGGGGGCGCCTGGGAAACAACCAGTGAATGGTTGAACAATAGAAAGAACTCCAACAGCTTGGGTACCAGTAGGGCTAGGGGAGGGATCAGGGCCCTGATTTGGGTCTTAGGACTCCACCAAGTGCATGTTCATTAGCCCTTTGTGTCTCCTGCCTGTGCAGGCTCACAGGAAAAGAGAAGCGAGTTGGGGGCTTTGACCTCATGTGGAATGATGGCCCTGTCAGCAGAGAAGAGGGGGCTACTGACCTGTCGGGGATGGAAAAATTTGTGACCAACACGCACCTCGGTATGTAGGGCCCAGTGGGGAGTGGGGGCCGGGGATGTGTCATGGGAGGTGCCAGGCAATGTAGGAGGCAGCTTGGCATGGCGGCTAGATTGTCTGAATTTGATCTGCAATTTACCAGCTGTGTGACCTTGGGCAAGGAACATAACCTCTCTGTTCTTCATTTGTAAAATAGAGAGGACATAGTTTCTACCTCAATGTATGCCTAGAACACTAACTAGCACATACTGTCAGGAGGTGGATTTCAAAGGCTTAGGCGGGAAACAAACAAATGAAAAAACACATGTTGTTAAGAGAAATTAAGGACTTCAGGGTTTGATTTAAAACTTGGTTTCTAAAAAGTGAAAATTTTCCCTGACTATAAAAATTATTCACACTCATTGTAGAATATTTGAAAACAAAAGAAGGAAAATTTTTAAAACATACAGATAAAACCATCTTTTAACAATCTGGTGTATTTTCTTCCAGTTCTTCAAGAATGTATATATTCATACTTTTTCTTTTATAAAATTGGCACTGGGCTGCAGTTTTGAATCCCAATTTTCCACGTGGTGTTTTCTATTCAAGAATATTAATAAGAGACCCTTTTTGGGGTGCACTTTTTAGCCAGGCCTGGGCTAAATATTTTACAAACATTTTGTCATTTTATCTTTAGGCAGCTTTTATTGCCATTTTACAGATGAGGAAATGGTCGTCAGATGTTACATACCTCGCTGAAGGCCTGGGTCGTAAGCGGTGAGCCTGGACTTGAACTCCAGACTGTCTAATTCTGAATGTTAGCTCAGTTGGTTAGAGTGCAGTGTTATAACACCTAGGTCAAGAGTTTGGATCCCCATAATGGCCAGCTGCCAACAAAACAAAACAAATCCAAAACCTGAATGTTTGACCGCTAGACTCTCCTGCTCCTAGGTAAAGTTAAAAACAAGATTACCATATGGCTGCAAAATACTCAAGCTTATAAATTTGCCAAATGAATTTCTTATAATTGGGCATTTGGCACAATTCCAATTTTTTACATTTGTAAATAATATCATAATGAATGTCCTCTCACATAAAATCAACTGAAATTCTGGCTATTTCCTTAAAACAGATTCCTAGAAGTAGAATTACTAGGTCAAAGGGATAGACATTACAACTAAATTGCTTTCCAAAAATTATACAAATCTGCCAGTTTTGAATTTTAAAAAAATCTGTGCCAACTTGCTACGTAAAAAGTACTGACTCGTTTTAGGTGCATTCCATTGATTATTGGTGGTTTCAGTTTTTTTATTTGCATTTCTTCTTTTGTAAGCTGTCGGTACTCTATTTTTCTATGGGTTGTCTAGTTTTCTAAATTTATAAAGGCTTTGGATGACTATATAATGCTCTTCCAAGCTTTAATGTGTATACGATCATCTGGAAACCTTGTTAAAATACCGATGATGATTCAGTAGTTCTGGGGTGGGGCCTCAGCCTGCTTTTCTAACAATGCTCTATTATTTAACCATTGCTATGTAACAAACCCTCCATAACCTAGCAGCTTAAAACAACTACTTTATTTGCTCATTATTCTTCGGGTCTCTCCTGGGGTCATGCATAGGGCTGCAGGCACCTGGTAGTACTAAGACTTGGTGGCCTAGGATGGCCTCATTCCCATGTGTGGGGGTTAACACCAGCTGTCAGCTGGGTTTCTCTTTGCATGTGGCCACCTGCCCTCCAACAGTCTAGCCCTGTCTTCTTCACATTGTAGTGAAGAAGAGTTCCAAGAGGCAAGAGAAGACATTGCAGAGCCTGTGCAGAGGTCCCACAATGTCATTCTGCTACAATCCATTAGTTAAAGCAATTTGCTAATCCAGCCCAGAGTCACGGGTGAGGAAATAGACTCCACCTCTTGATGAGAAGAGCAGCAAAGTCACCTTGCAGAGAGGTGTGCATATGGGAATGGAATCGTTGCAGCCATCTTTGCTAACAATTCACCTCAGATGCCAGTGACGCTGGTTTCTGGACCCTGTTTGAGTAGCAAAGATGAAGAATGTGCTTCTCCACCTTGGCTGCATATTAGAATCATCCGGGAGGTTTGAAAAATACTGATGTGATGTAATCTGAAAAAACCTGGTAAGAAGAAAAATACTGATGCTTGCCAAAGGTACAGATATGGTTGGTCTAGGCATCACTATGAGGGAACTTCAAAAAGTGCATGGAAAGATTCATATTATCTTTTAATTCTATTTTTCAACGAACTATCTGAAGTACTCTTATATTTGTAAAAGCTTCCAGTGACTCTAATATGCAGCCCAGGTTGAGAGCTACTGCTTTGGAAGTCTCTGGAATTGTTTCCAGAAGAGCGTTTGGGTGGATGGTGGTAAACATAGGAGGAGCAGGTTGGGTCAGGAAGAATATTGATAAATTGAGTAAGGGTTGTGTTCAGGGACATCCAGGTAAAAAGATCAACAGATAACTCAGAGATGAGTCTAGAACTCCAAGAAGAGGTTTGCGTTGGACATGAAGATCTGGCAGTTATGAATGAATCAAATACAGCTAAAGCTAGGGTTTCCTGGAACTCACTTTGGAAAATCTGGGGAAATATACAGTAGGCTGTTAGCTCAGTAAAGTCTTGATGGCTGGTGAGTGCATAGGAGGCAGGGACAGAGTTTTAGGTGCTAAGAAGGATCACAGACGCCACCTGGTCAGTATTTGTGGCCACAGAGATTCAGTCATTCAGACAGCACTTTTGAGTGCCAGCAATGTGCCTGGCACAAGATTAAACAACCATGAAGTTGCCTCAAAGATCAGCTCTGAGAGCAAACAGGAAATGGGTAGCACCCCAAACAGGTTGGGAGAGGAGGCATTTCAGCAGCTTACGTCAGCTTCTCAGCATGGACTGCCTGGTACACACTTCCGTGGGCCCAGGGGCCACTTGGGAAAACTCATTTCCTAGCCAACTGTGCCTGACATGTGGGTTGGGTAATGGAAGAAAGCTAATGTATACTGGGTATCTATCAATTGCCAGGCACTGTGCTAGCTTTCAATGCATTTTCACTGTGCAAAACCAGGAGGAAAGGCAGTGTGGGGTTGTGGGTAAGGGCATGGCTCTGGTACCAGGTTCAAATCCCAGTTCTACTACTTATTGTGTGATTTGGGCTAAATGACCACCTCTCTGAGCCTCAGTTTTCTCTTCTGCACATAATTCCTGTGAGGACCCAACAAGTTCATCCATATTAAGTACCTGGAAGCAGTCCCTAGCTTGAGGTAAGCCCCTAGTCAATGTTAGCTTTTGTTGATAAATCCTTCTGTTCACTCCATAAGGCAGATAGTATTATCCTGGTTTACAGATGAGAAAATGGATGCTCGAAGAGGTAAATGACCTGCTTGAGGGCCATGGCAGTTCAGGAGTGGAGCCAGGATGCAAGTCACAGGCCATGCGTGGTTGCATGACTCCTCCTATCCCCTCCTTCCACCAAGTAGTAAGCACAGGCCCCTCCACTCACCCCAAGGACAGACCATCCCAGCCAACACCCAACTTCCCTTCCAGGCTGTGTTAACGATCGGAAACAACAGCTGAGGCAGCTGTTCCGTTCCCTTCAAATGCAGAAGAAAGCTTCCAGCTGATCCCCAGCCACTGGAAGGAAAGCAGCCCAGGAGGTGCCACCCAGGCCTCTCCCCACTCCCAGATTCCAGCACAGCAGCACTTCATGGCATTTGCCTCCCTCCCTCTGGCCTCCTGCCCTCCAGAGTTGAGTGCAAGTAAAAATTTCTGCATTTTTCTCACTCCTACATTCCTAAGCCTTCTCTTGGTTTAAGAGGGACTCCAACGAGAGTGGGCCAGTGGGCTAACTGCTCCATGGGGGAACCTACCATTCTCAATGCAGTTTTTCTGGCTGCAAATGGCAGAATCTGACTGCCTAGTTTTAGCCCAAAGGGAAGGTTTTTGGAAGGAAAATACTGGCAAATCCAAGAAGTGAACCAGCTGGCTTTAGGAAGGCCAGAAGCCAAGCTACTATGGACCTACTGCCTCTGGAGCATGGGCAAGGCCGACAGCCCCAGCCGTCGGCTCCATGTATCACATTTCCAAGAGAGAGAACCTGATTAGCACTTTGGCCTAGGAACCACCCTGCCAGGAGGCAGGTGCAATGTTCTGATGGAGAAATTGTGAACCTGGCAGTCATACCACACAGCACTTACCAAAGTGAATTCTGCAACTTTCTACTTTTTTATGTTTCTATTTTAAAATATGCAACACATTCGTATGTTTTAAAATTTACAAAAGTGTGCAGTCGTCCCTTGGTATCTGCAAGGGATTGGTTCCAGGACCTCCTTGCAGATACCAAAATCCAGGGATGCTCAAGTCCCTTATATAAAATGGCATATTATTTGCAGATAACCTACACACATCCTCTCTTGTACTCTAAATCATCTGTGCACTGCTTATAACACTTAATGCAAATGTAAAGCACACAGCCTTTACAAGAGAGGATGTGTGTAGGTTATAAACAAGTATAGCTGTTATACTGTATCAGTTTTTAATTTGTATTTTTTTCCCCTAATATTTTCAATCTGCAGTTGGTTGAATCTGTGGATAAGGAGCCTGCAGATAGAGGGCCAGCTGTACATTGTGTCATCTTCCCTCCCAAGCTTGTGCCCCAACCCTTCAGTTGCTGTCCTGAGGGAACTACATCGTGTATACACAAATTATTAGCTTATTAGACACCTGTTCTGCCCCTTGCTTTTCTCACTCACTGTATCTTGGAGCTTGTTCCAAATCAGTGCTCAAAGAGCTTCCCTATTTTTTTTTTTTAAAGATGACCGGTAAGGGGATCTCAACCCTTGGCTTGGTGTTGTCAGCACCACGCTCAACCAGTGAGCGAACCGGCCATCCCTATATAGGATCCGAACCCGTGGCCTTGGTGTTATCAGCACCGCACTCTGCCGAGTGAGCCACGGGCCGGCCCCTTCCCTATTCTTGATTATAGCTGCCTAGTAGTATTCCACTCTCTGGAACTATTGATTCCTTTAAATAGTCCCCTGTGGATGGATATTTAGTTTCCAATTCCACCTCCCTACTTCTTAGGGCTATCATGGGAAAAGCACACAGTAACTTCTACCAAAACTCAAGGGGGTGCAAAACTGTAGGTTTTGTTTAATCAAAACCCAAGTTTTTTTTTTTTTTTTAACATTTTCTGAATTAGCAATATTTAAGACAGAAGATTCAACTTAATCTAAATTTCTAGCTACTCTTGAAAAAAACTTAAGATCTGGCCATACTAGCCTGTGTTCCTATATAGCTACCAGCTAGAGCCCAATGGAGTGAGGGGAACAGGTGAGGTGTGACCTCTCCATTTTGTCATTTGTTGTTGTCACCTGCCTGTCTAATCCTGGTATCATTTCAAGGCAAGAACCACTTCCCCTTCATAGTGGTATTCTAAAGGAGTAGTTTGCCCTCTATGAAGGACCGAATGAGGAAAAGACTAGAAGCTGCTATTCATCCATTTAGCTAACTTTTATTGAGCCCTCAATAAACACAAAAGGCGGTTTGCCCTTGCAGCACATTCACACTAGGATCTCAGATCATTGAAGGCAAACGGCTCAGGCCCTGCTTTCCGAGGTGGTGGAGGAGCCATGTGCAGCACAAAAAGAGGCAGCCCCACTCTCCCATCCCCAGGGCAGGCAGGGCCCTCCTGACTAGAGCAGTCACAGGAGACTGATAAGCAGCAGCCACTCCTGGAAGCAAGCAGGAAAAAAGGGCAAAAATGGAGGCAGGGGAGGGGTGGGGGTGGGGGGGTAAGTGTGTGTCTTCTTCACCGATGGCTGCAGTGAGCCATAAAGCACCAAGATGCTGTCTTTAATTCAGAAACCACCATGAGCCTCCCACTTTATTCCAATTCTGCTACACACACTGCCTGAGGATGTCTCCCCCTTTCTTGAGAGGAATGCTGGAATGAAGGTCCCACCCCACCCTCTGCCTTCTCCCTGCCCAGGCCCGTTGGGACAGCAGGCCATTGTTGAGAAGTGCCTGTTGCAGTCATTCTCACACCCCCACACACCCACTGGTGGCTGCCAGGAACTCTCAATAGGTCTTGTGTCCATCCAGCCCTAGTGGTCAGGCCCAGAAGACGTGGACAGGCTGAAGGTTCCTTTCTGCCATCACAGAGCAGCCAAGTGCTACAGATAGAGGCTTTGTACAGGAGCCATGGCCAGATTCCTGATGCTTGTCCCCTTACAGGGCAGATTCTGTCCTTGCAGCTTTCAAGGTTAGAGGGTCCTGGGTCCCCATGACCCCAGGAGGGATGCTGGTCGTAGGTCCCCCATCTTGCTTTTTGAGTCTCATCCTTTCAAGATGACCTTGAGAGCTTTAAGCTCATCCTGGTTGAGGGGATTCAGGTTAAAACCTTTCAGCTCCGGTTTGCCTAAGAGGAGAAGACAATCTATCAGAAAGTTGGGCCTGCTGCTGCTCTGGAGCCAAGCCCTGGAAAGGGACTAACACAGCACTAAAGCTGCCAAATGTGGCCCTGAGGTCAAGGGACGGGCCTCAGATTCTGCACTGCACTGGATGATGTACATCCATCCACACCTGCTCCCGGGTCACCAAGAACCTGCAAAGACATGCCTGCTGCTCAGAGACCTCCAGATTTTTGCCAGACCCGTGACTGATCTGGAGTGCTTAGTTTACCAGAATTTCAGCTCTGATCTCAACCACCAGAGGCCTTCTCAGTTTCCTCAGTCAGAGCTATCCTGGTCCCTACACCAAGCCCTGGCATATAATGAGACATCACTCCAGGCACTTTCTGGTACCTGGAAAAGAAGCTGTGACGGGAATAAAACCCCACAAACCTCCCTGTCCATTCTGTCTCTGGGTAGCTGCAGACACCACTGCCCACTGCCCACACCTCCAATGACACTCACATGCTGCCCAGGCCACTGCCCACTTCTGAGGGGCTTCCCACCCTTCAAAATCTGTGTTGATGGTTTTCTCCACTCCGGGTTTCCAGTTCCCCCAAGACCAATACCTTGGGCCTCAAAGAGGCGGTCGACCTTCACTTTAAGTTGTTTCTGGAGTTTTTCAATTTCTTTATCCAGGTGGTCCTGATCTGAAAAAGAGGTGGGCAACAGAGAATGAGGTTATACCACAGAGAGACTGACTAGGGATGGTGAAGCCAGCCTCTCCCTAGCCCCCTTGACAGTAAAAGCTCCTAGCACTCAGGAAGGAAAAGGGAACTTCAGAGACCTACTGAGGAAGGACTAAAGGTTAGAAAGGACATGATCTGCCCAAGACCACTCAGAGAGCCCAGGATACACCAGCTCTCTGACTCCCAGTTCACTGGCCTTTTTTTCATTATGCAAAGTACCCTGGGGTTGTCTGTGGGTGGGGAAGGCAACATCAGGACTTTAGGCTACCTTCCCACAGTGAAATTATGGAAAATTCAAATGCAAGACCAAAATGAAGGACGTATAGACCTAGCCAATCCTAAGATGGCTGGAAAATGGATGGCTGAGGAATTTTACAAACCGAAGTCCATCAAGATAAGGGGTCTTAAGAAAAGCATGATTGTGAAAACATGTGGTCTAAACAATCAATCAGCCTAATGCTCAAGCTTAACCTAAGTAACCACGGCAAACAGAAAAGGTTATTCTAACGTTATGGACTGCACCTGACAAGTGATGGCATGATGATAGAGGTGGCTATCAGAGCTTAATGACCAACTGACTAAGGTCACCCAACCACCTCCATCTGCTTACAAGTGACATTTTGGCTAGCCTGTCTTCCCCACAGACTTCCATGCTTTCTGATGGGGAGAAACCCTGATAGCCAAATCTTGCAGCCTGGGTGATGGTTCTATTTCTCATTGTCTCTTGAGCTTGGCTAGCCTGTGTGGATCCCTAAGAACCCTGACAATGTCCCAAAACCCCTCTAGGTACAGAAACAAGACCACATTTGTGGGCCAACAGAGCAGAGGACCAGATCCTGAACCCAGGCAAGTGACCCCATCTGAAAGCTCAGCTCAAGCAGCCTCCAGCCCACTACCCAAGTGCAATGACAACTCTTAATTTTATAACCATACTACTAGCTGTATGTTCTTCAACAGAACTGCTGGAAACTTCTCCTCCAGGCTCAATCTAGTTTCCTCCACTAGAATTTTGACTTCAAGAGGTATGGAGACAACCTCTCTTCAGAGATTAAGGTAACCTGGTCGGTCCTCTTGGCCTACATGCTTTCAAGGGTATAGAAAAGAAGACATGTGTAACCTTCCCTTTTCCCTGCCAGGATCCATTTACAGCCTGACTTTTTGGCTTTATGATGCTTCTCCAAAGAGCTTCCAGGATTCTTGTGGTTTTGGAGACCTGAGTAACATATGTTGAGTGTCCAGATTGTGGTAGACCCTAGAGGTTCACTGTCCCGAAACCTCCATATTCAACCCAGTCTCTACTACAGGGGATGTGAAAAATAAAAGCTTACTCTCCCAGGCTCCCTTGTAGCTAGGGGTGGCCATGTGCCTTAGTTCTGGCCAATGAGATATCACCAGAAAGTCCCTGGGGCAGATGGCCTTATTTCCAAAATAGAAAGCAAGACTATATGTGGAGAAAGCCTTTGGCCTTTCCTCCAGCCCAGCACACAGACATGAGGTCTGTAATGATGACACAACAACCCTGAGAATGAGAATATGCTAAGGTGCCACTGCTGAGCAGCTGTGCCAGTCCTGGAGCACACCCCTGGACAAAGAAAAAACATGAGAAAAACAGAACCATACCTCCTTAAGCCTCAATTTGTTGGGTTTCCTGTTATCTGTAACCCAGCTCATTCCTCAGTGATAATCGAGCACTATGCTAGATACACATACTGTCTAATATCAACTTCTCAGCAACTGTGCTACATAGATATAGCCTTTTTTAGAGATGAAAAAATAACTCACAATGGCAGAGCAGAGATTAAAACCCACATCAGTCTGAACCCTGTAACACAGCCACCCCTCATTAAGCTGCCCAAAGCTTGACTCTCAGTTCTGGGTTAATACCAAGGCAGGTGGGAGAGATAGCTGTGTCCCTGACCGATCCCAGCAGGCCTTACCTTTCTCAATCATTTCCTTCGTCTGAGAGTGAGACATCTTGATAAACATGTTCCCGAAGCAAACCATCACATCTTCTGAAATAGCAAATAGTCATTCCTTCAACAAAAACTATCTGCAAGGCACTGTCTTAGATGCTGAGAACACAGCAGAACAAGACAAAGTTCCTGCCCTCGTGGAACTTATGTCATAGTGGAGGAGAGGGAATAAACAAAGACACGATTTGTCAGACTCTGAGAAGAGCTGGAGAGAAAAATAAAGCAGGCTAAGAGGGACAGGGAATGCTAGAGCAGGGTGGGACTTGTAACTTATACCAGGTGGTCCTAGGCCTCACTGATTATGCGACATTTGGGCAGAGACCCAAAGAACGTGAGGGTGTGAGCCCTGCAGACACCTGGGGACAGAGTGAGCCAGGCGGAGGAAACAGGAACAGCGAAGATCAGTAGTGTGCTTGGGGTGTTAGGAACAGCAAGAAGACTAGTGTGGGTGAAGTCAATGAGAGAGAGTAGAAGAGATGATATTGGAGAGTTCATGGGGGCTGGATTACATGGAGTATTGCCAGACTCTGAATTTTTACTCTGGTGAAATGAGAAGCAACCAGAAAATGTTATACATTCCAGTGTACTTAAAACTCAAACTTCTTCCCTTGGTCCCCAAGGCTCCCTTCGTTATGGCCTGGTCCTGTCCACCTCTCCAGCCTTGCTTTCTCTTCCCACTTGCATACTCTGCCATGGCCACTTGGCCTCAATTAAAGACTCCCATCCCCTCTTTCCTCCTGGATATTCTCAAAACCCACTCCATGTCCAGTTCCATCTTTAACCTTCTCAGTTTTCTATTATGTATTTTACATTGTTTTTCTTATCTGGAGAGCACAAGGACAGGGCCATCATTTTTATATACACCCAGCACTTTCAGTGTCTGCCATCATTGATGAGCAAAGAACTAAGGGTCTGTCAGCGAGGTGAGCAGTTAAAATCCTGAGCCACAGTCTGTATCAGACCTTTAATACTTGTTCCCCCATCTCCACGGGCCATTTCAATTTCCCAATAGGCTGAATCACCCACCTGTGGCTTTCTGTCTCTATCAGAGACAAGGTGAAGGCCTTAAAAAAGAAATGAATGGGACTCCTGGGTTATAGTGAGGAAGGCTCAACTTACCAGAGAGGCTAACATCCCTCTGCAGGGCCCTTAGGCCCTCCCGGTTCTGATTCCTTTTGGTGTCCAGGTCCACAATCTGAAAACAGGAGAAGGGAATTCAGCTACCTCTTGCCCCAAGCTGTCACTTCTTGACAGACCAGGGACTGAGGAGACAAGGCATCCTCCTGGGTTACTTCCAAATTCCTGCCTAAAATGGATTGATGTGTGAACGTATTTCTTCTCCCACTCAGCTTCCAGGTCCTTAAGATAATGCTTTGTGCAGGTGTCCTCCCCCCAGAGAAGGTGCTGGGAAAATGTTTGCTGACTACATGGATAATTTTGTGTTAACCACTGGAGTGCTAGTTCTCAAACTTTAGGGCTTATAGGAGTCACCAGGGGAGTGGAAATCTCTCCTCTAGACATGGTGATTAAGCAAGCCTAACAAGCTCTATTTTTGGACACGCTCCTCCAGCTAATTCTGACCTAGTATCACAAGAAACCCAATAATATTAGACTAGAACGGCGGGGATGGGGCACTGAGATGGTGGCAACACCACAATAGCTACTAAGGAAGTGAGGAGGCAGTACAGTATACTTCTTGAGAGCTGGCTCTGGAGCAGGAGTACCTAGGTTTGAATCCTGCTGCCTGCTATGATCTTCGTAATTTCATCTTCCTATTTACTCCTCTGAAAACTGGAGATATGAACAGTACCTACCTCAAAGGTTACCGAGGCAGAAATGAAATGAGTTAAAACAAGTACCCGACACAGTAGGTACTAGATAAATTTTAACTGCTGTTATTATCATCCAGCATACCTTGATGCAATATTTAATCTGACAGGCTCTTCCCCAAGGTTTCCCTTCTCAGGGTAAGGATCAACCCAACCAACTACCCAAGCATTCTAACCAGAGATGAGAGAGAGTCATGAACCATTCTTGACTCCTCCTGCTCCTTCACCCCTTTATGTAACCATCCTCACAACCGAGTCCATCTCCAAAATTTATTTCTGACCCATTCACATCTCTCCATCACCACCACCTCGTCCAAACCCATCTCTCCTTTGAAGCATGGCAATGCCCCCTGCCAGCCTCCCTGCCTCCACCCTTGCCCTCCTATATTCTGTACTCCACACAGTAGCCAGAGGAATCCTTTTAAAACCTAAATCCAAGGTCTGGCCCCTGGCTCACTTGGGAGAGTGCGGTGCTGACAACACCAAGGCCAAGGGTTCAGATCCCTATATAGGGATGGCCGGTTAGCTCACTTGGGAGAGCGTGGTGCTGACAACACCAAGTCAAGGATTAAGATGCCCTTACCAGTCATCTTCGGTTAGCTCACTTGGGAGAGCGTGGTGCTGACAACACCAAGTCAAGGATTAAGATGCCCTTACCAGTCATCTTTTAAAAAGAACAAAAAACCTAAATCCAATTACATCACCCTTCCTCCCCACTGCAAACTCGCTTCAAAGACTTGGCGCTTGAATTAGAACCCGACCCGAACTGCCTGTGCAGGTCTACAAGGCCCTCCATGACCGAGGTCCCACCTTTCCCCACGTCCCCACCCCCGCCCAGCCACAAGGCCTTCAGGCCTCTTTTCTGTTTCTCTTCTCCCCTCAGGGTCTTGACCGGGCCAGTGCACAGAGATCAATGAAGGAGGCCTGGGAACTGCATTTTGAAAAGGTGTTTGGGGAAACCACCCAGAGCGGTAATGGGTCGGGATCCGGACAACACGGTAAGGAACTGAGAAGGATGGAGAGAGGAATACCCAGCACAGGGCAGGCGCTCCTTAATACCAGCCGAATAAATGAGGGTCGCGCTGCGCTGTGTCAAGCGTTTGACCCACGTTATCTCACAACCTCCCCACGTCTGTCTTCTCGGAGCCGTTAAGTCACCAGCCCAGGTCAACTCACTGCGACCTCGCACACTTTTCTACGGCGCTCGCCGTCAGGCCTCGGCCGCCGGCCCCAGCGTGGCTGACCGGCCTCCTACCTGCCGCTTGTCCGCCAGCACCTCCTCGGCGAGCTCCTCCACCTCGACCAGGTACCGCAGCACCCGCTCGGCCTCCGGAGACAGCATGGCGCCCACCAGCTCCGGCTGCGGCTCCGACGCAACCCCGCTTAAGCTCCGCTCTGCTCCGCGACGGTTCTGAGTCGGCGCCCCAGGCGCACGCGCCGCACTGACAGGGCTTCCGGCACGCCTGCGCAATTAAAAAAAAGTGGCGGACAGGCTCCAACGCATGCGCGACAACCGAAAGCGAGAGGCGGGGCCTGGCTGGGGGGTGGGGCCTAGCTTTGGGGGCGGGGCTGGAGCGCCCCCTGCAGGCCCAGAGAGCACAGTCCGCAGCGTTGCCTCTTACCCCTTCCTCCATTTTTTCAAGTATTTCTTGAGCACCTACTACGTGCCAAGCAGTTTTAGGTGCTGAGGATGCAGCAGTGAACAAAACAAAATCCCTGCCCTCATGAAACTTCATCTCAGTGGAGAATACTAACAATTAATGACAAAATAAATAATTGCTATGACAGGTAGTAATAATGACTTTGGATAGATATAAATCATTGTTCTTTTGTTTAAGGAACACAAAGAAGGCCCTTCTGGCAGTATGACTCATTTAACCTCTGACACCTTCAGTTTCCAATTTATAAAATAGGGGTGAATAGAAATCCCCCTCACTGCCTCTCCAGAGGCTCAGAAGGAGGCAGGAATCAATTTTAATTCCATCTGATGGTGTTTGTTGGCCCCTGTGTTGGGCCCAACGTCCTGAGTAGTTGACCTAGACCCAAAGAAGGGCATAAAAAGCTATGTACGGTGAGCAATGAAGTGCTAGCTCAGAAAAGAAGTTCTGTAAATACTGGAGAGTGAATCCACGTGGGCCATATGATCCGGGTGGACTTCCCAGAGGCAGGCAGGTGGAAATGGCTGCCCATCAGAACCAGAGGGTTTCCTAGAGATCTTCATGCCCACACCCCTCATTGTGTAGTTGGAAAAGCCAAGGCTCAGAGAGACGTGAAGACTTTGAAAAGTCAACAGCAGAACTGATGCTGGAACTCTGACCTCTTGCCTCCCTGATTCCAGCTTTTTATTCTCCTCTTTTGGCCTCTTGTAATCATGCCATCACACACCCCTTACTTTACTTGAATTTCACAGCAACATTTTTAAAGACGGAATTATTGCTGCCCTATTCCACGGCTGCAGACTGAGGCCAGGTAAAGGTCAGTGCCTCATCACGCAGCAAGTCAGGAGGGTCTGGAAGCACCCTGGTCTCCAAACCACAGGGGCCTCTGGTCCCTGAAAAAATCACTTCTCCAAATTGTGGCCCCAGCAGCACCTTCTCTCCATCTGGCCTTTGGCTGCCTTCAACTACCAGAAGCAGAGCTAATTTTCCCTGAAGCTGCCTGGTGTAGGGAAGGAGGGAGATTCATTATGGATTTCTCATTGAGGGTGAATTTGTCACCAAACCCAGGATGTTTTGTGTAAACACCTTCTGGTCCAGAAATGCAAGCACAGACCCTGTGAAGGAAGGGGGGACATTTGCTAAAGGAGAAACAAGGCTCACCAGACTGCAGCACTGGGTCTCCTCCACCTTGGGGCCCAAATAGGGCTGGACCATGTTGACTCTTGACCCCTGCCAGATGGGCCTGGAAGTGGGGGAGGGGCTGAGGGAAGCTTCCACATTATCAGCTTCTTGGCTGTGGCTGGCCCTTAGGGCCCACCCCAGTCCCTGGAAGTGTTGGGGAGGGGGGTCATAGTCACCTAAGACTTTGAGTCGATCAGACTTAGGACTCTTGGAGATCACTCAGGTTCAGAACCATTTATTTCACAAATATTTACTGACTTCCAAGGCCCTGTGATAGCGATTCTGCCATGAGCAAAACCAGACAAGCTCCCTGCCCTCAGAAAGCTCCCAGTCTGGTGGAAAAGACAGACAATCAACATATGAACAAGTAAATATATCATATGTCAGGTGGTGAAAGGTGCTATGGATAAAAATAGAGCAGGGTAAGGTGAAGAAGGACTGATGGAGGGGCTATTTGAGATAAGGTGATCAGGGAGGGCTTCCCTGAGGAGGTGGTATTTGAGCACAATGTGGAGCAGGTGAGCAGGGGAGCTATGTGGATATCTGAGAGACAGCGGTCCAGGCAGAGGGAATAGCCGGTGTAGGTGGAACGGAATGAGCAAGGGGGAGAGGGTAGGAGATGAGGTCACAGAGGGGAAGGAGGCATTGGCATACAGGGCTGTAGAAGGAGCTGTCAGTGTCCCACCCGAAACTGACTAGGTCCTCCCTGGAGGTTTTCTGTAGACATTGCTGCCCTGCCTGTGGCTTCCTGCATCTCTCAACTCACAGTTGAGTGGGGAATGCCTGTGCATTAACGCCCACAAGAGTGAACTCCCACCAAGGACAGGAGTTAGTGACGGCATATCTCAGTGTCTTTGCCTCTCTGTGGGAGACCCAAGAGGAGGCTGCTACAGTCATCCAGGAAACTCTACATATCCCCCACTTCTCAGCGTGCTCACACCACCTCCCAAGGGTCAATAGTGCCCTCTGGGCCCCCACAGCTTCCTGGGCTTCCCTCTTCTCTGCACTTGCCACACCATTTTTTTTTTTCTCTGAACATCTCCCGCTCCAGTCATGAGCTCCTCAGGGCTGAATCTTGTCGGTCTTGTTCACTATTGCATCTCCAGAACCGAGGATGGTACCTGACATACAGTAGGTGCTCAATCAATGTTTATGGACTGAATGAGTAGACTCAACATGAAGCAGAACTTTCTAAAATCCCAGTTATCCTGGGGCCAGCCCGTGGCTCACTCGGGAGAGTGAGGTGCTCATAACACCAAGGCCACAGGTTCAGATCCCTATATAGGGATGGCCGGTTGGCTCGCTGGGTGAGTGTGGTGCTGACAACACCAAGTCAAGGGTTAAGAACCCCTTACCGGTCATCTTTTAAAAAATAAAAATAAAATAAAATCCCAGTTATCCAAAGACAGGGCTGGCCAGTTAGCCCAGTTAGAGTGTGGTGCTGATAACACTAAGGTCCAGGATTTGATCCCTGTACTGGCCAGCTGCCAAAAAAAAAAAAAAAAAAAACCCAACCCAAAACAAACAACAGCAACAAAATAAAGTACCCAAAGATGAACAGAGCTAACTCAAGGATAACTTGTTTCCTTTCACAGGAGGTAGGTAAGTTGAGGCTAGACTGACACATGGTCAGGATATTGCAGAGGAGATTCAAGCTCTGGGTGGGTGATCTTTTCTAACTAGAAAACCTCTACCTGGTCACAATGGGATATGCCCCCATCTTTAGCCATCCCAAGCCCAGGCCAAAAGGGACATGGCTATTAGGGCTCTGGTGTTTGAGGACCAGAGCCAAAAAGAACTATGCCCCAGCTATACCTCTCAGATCCCTTTTTACCAATTTTGTGCCTTCAATGACCAGCACCCACATCTCTCCTTAGGGAGGACTGTCCTCCGGCCACTGGAGCCTCTGGGGGGCGCTTACCCCCAAGCTGTAACCCATCGTCTGGGGCGTATGGAAGTGCATCTTCCTTGCCGGGGTGAAGGTGGCAGGTGGGGGATAACTCTGAGATATAATTTACACTGCAGGGTTCCCCTGTGGGGTCCGCAGTCCTGCTTGGCTTCCTCTCCTTCCCTGTCCTCCCTGCCACCCCCACCCCGCCCTTTATGGTCAAAGCCCTCTCAGGTGCTCATCTCGCTCAGTAAAAGCCAAACTCTTCACTGAGGCCCACAGGGCCCTACAAGGCCTGTCCTACCTCTCTGTGTCATCTCCCACCTCCTTGCTTTTCCTCAAACAAGCCAGATGTGGTCTCTCCTCAGGGCCTTTGCACAGGCTGCTCCCTCTCTCTGCCTGAACTTTCCCCGATGTCTAGGGCTCCCTCCCTCACTTCCTACAAGTCTCTGCTTAAATGTCACCTTTTTTTTTTTCTAAAAGATGACCGGTAAGGGGATCCCAACCCTTGACTTGATGTTGTCAGCACCACATTCTCCCAAGTGAGCTAACCGGCCATCCCTATATGGGATCTGAACCCGTGGCCTTGGTGTTATCAGCACCACACTCTTCCAAGTGAGCCACAAGCCAGCCCAAAATGTCACCTTCTCATTGAAGCCCACCCTGACCGCCCTATTTAAAAATGCAACCCCTGGGGCCGGCCTGTGGCTCACTCGGGAGAGTGCGGTGCTGATAACACCAAGGCCATGGGTTCAGATCCCATATAGGGATGGCCGGTTTGCTCACTGGGTGAGCGTGGTGCTGACAACACCAAGTCAAGGGTTAAGATCCCCTTACCGGTCATCTTAAAAATAAATAAATAAATAAAAATGCAACCCCTGCCACTCCCAGCACTCCTGATCAATTTCTGCTCTACTTTTTCTTTTTCTTTTCATAGCTTTTGTAACCTTCCAGCATGCTACATAATTTACTTATTATATTTCTTTTTAATCTACCTCTGCTAGAAAGGGGGTTCTGTGAGAGCAGGAATCTTTGTTTCATTTGTTACTGATGTATCCCAAAAGCGCCTGGCCCATAGTAGGTGCCTGATAAACGTTTTTGAATAAACAAATGAGAAGAGCCAGAATTCTAACTAATGCAGATTCTTGCTAAGGCCAGGCTCTTAAAGGTGGGGGTGTGGTGGTGGTGGGAGCAACAGATCCTGCCAGGCCTTGTTGACTAGGGTAAGGGGGTTGGACTTTGTTCTCAGACCAGTGAGAAGCTATTGAAGAGTTTTGAGCAAGCACAGACATGATTGGATTCACTTTGTGAAAGACCCTTCTGGCTCTGATGATAGGATGGGCTGAAAGGGGCAAGTGTGGGGCAGTCCTCTGGATTGCGGGTGTTTGTGCTGGGAGTGGGAGGGTTAGGATGGGGGCTGCGGCTGCTCTGGGGCTGGGAAAGAGCAGGAGAGAAGCCAGTTCCATGCCCTGATTCTCCAGGCAGCCTGGGTGGCTGCTCTACCAGCTCTGGCCTGTGAGTTGTCCTGGCTGGGCCTCCCAGCTGCTGACAACATGCTCCTGTCCTGCAGATGGGCTGTTTGCTCGCCTGGGTGGTCCCAGCTCCTCCCTCCACTTCCTTTGTGCCTTTGTCGGCTTGGCAGGTGGGAGGGAGGCCTCCACTCCCTCTCCTCTCCTGACCCAGAGAATAATC